CATTACAATTAACAAATGGTTGTGCAATATGAGAACTCCTTTAAAGGCTAGGAGTGAGTCAGGAAAATCCCAACCACAGCGTGCCTTTTTCACAGACCATTTATTATGGTAACAGCATAGCATGAAAATGCACTTGCATTGTGGAACATACACATAATATCTCCAGGACCTTCTGAGTGACATCTGAAACACTGCGAAGTTCTGTAGTATCCATCTTCTCAGACATTTTAGTTATCTAAATTTATCTTTCTATAGTTACAATGGAGTCCTGTTTAAAAATATTTTCTTTTTTTCAGCTCCTCTCTAATTATAATCAAGGGGAGACATTACAGTAGGGAAAGATAATTGACTCAGGGTTACTAAAATTTGCCAACCTGAAAATCGTAAGGATTTTAATGGAAGAGAACATCTTCCGTGAGGAATGCCAGCCAAAAACCAAGTCCTGATTCACTGAGCTCATTTCTCCTCTTCACACCTGCAAGGGTGGTGACTGCTCCACAGCTGGGAAGGATGTGGGGCCCTAGGCTGAGCTAATGCTCTATAGGGTTTTGCCATCCAGTGTTGGCAGCCACCAGCTGCACATGGCTACTAAGTAGGAATGTGGCTTAACTGAAATGAGACAAGTTATAATTACAAAATGCTCACTGGGTTTCCATGACATGGTATTTTAACTAAAAAAAGGAAAGAATGCAAAACACCTAATTATAATATGTATAGTGAACATATGTTAAGATGATAATATTTTAGGAATTTGGGTTAAGTACATTTTATTATTAAAATAAAATTTACCTGTTTCTTTTTAGATTTTTAAATCTGGTTACCTAATATATTAAAGATATACAGACAGCTGACATTGAATTTCCAGTGGACAGTGCTGTCTAGAGCTTCCCCAGCATAGCCATCCCTGGGTGTGCTCCACCTAGAGAAATACTGATGTGCCAGGGCCGCATACCTGTGTGAGCATGAGGCGGCACCTGCAGCACATGCCTTATTTAGAATCCTGGTTGGTTTTCCTGACTTCCTAGAGCTAGGGCATAAAAGGCCCCTATCCAGGGGACTTTCACTTTTCACTCCCACCAAAGGTGTTGGTTTGAGATGGCTTTTTGGGGGGTCCAGTTGGCATGGACAAGCCATGTTCCTCAGAATTCCTTTTCTGTATGGTTCTGGGTACAAATGGGCTGCAAGAACAATTCTGTCTTAAGAGTTGGAAAGAGGAAGGATAGATTCCCTCTGCCAGTTGCTCAAACACTAATTTAGGTTCTCCTGGGAAGGACTCTTGCATGATAGAACCCAAGTCCTTTATCAGTTGACTCTAAGTTAAGGAGATTATCCTGTGTGCCCCTTCCTTCATCAAGAGGTTTCAAAGAGGGCTTAGATCTTCCTCTGAGAGACTCGTGCCTGTGAACAGCAGCTGTGACCCACTCCCAGGAGTCTCATCTGCTCACTACCACCCCTACCCGACCACCTGTCCTTCTGAAGTAAGGCTACCATGGCCAGCACACCAATTCTGTGAGCTAAACCACACATCTCTTTCTACCCCACTGGGTTTGCACCTGTGCATGGAGACCGACTTCTCTACATGTGTGCTTGGTTGCTGAAGTAGCTTTGGAACTGAGTAGGGTGGGGTTTGGGAGATCTGGGAAGAGCATGTTAGACAGTAATAGAAAATTATAGTGGAACTATACTGCTGGCATGGACTCAGAGGATGTGGGGATGTGTTCCTGGAAGCTGAAACAGGGGGCAAAGCCTGAAGAAACAATAGGTCTGTTGTCAGTTGAGAAGCAAGATTTTTTTTTCTAAAGATTTATTGGAAATGCAGAGATACAGAGAGAAGAGAGGGAGGGAGGGAGGGAGGGAGGGAGGGAGGGAGGGAAGGAGGGAAGGAGGGAGAGGGGGAGGGAGAGGGAGGGGGAGAGCGAGAGAGAGAGAGGGGAGTCAGACTTCTATCTGCTGGTTCACTCCCCAAATGCTACAACCACAATGGTTGGGGCTGGGCCAGGCTAAAGCCAGGACAGGAGTCTCTTCCAGGTCTCCCATGAGGGTGCAGGGGTCCAAGTACTTTGAACATCTTCCTCTGTTTTCCCAGGCACATTAGCAGGGAACTGGATCTGAAGGAACAGCCAGGACGCAAACCCACGCCCATATGAGATGCCAGCAAGGCAGATGGAGACTTAGCCTTCTATGTCACAGTGCCAGCCCCAAGAAGCAAGATTTTTGAGTGACAAGAGACATCCAAGCCATGGTTTGAGGATGCCACTTGATTTCTTCTTGTCACTTAAAATCCGATGTGTGAGAGAGATACATTGAAGAAAGGACTGTTAAACATAAAGTGTCCAGAACCAGATGACTTTGGAATTTCTCATCTTTTCCAGTGGCAAAACATGTTTAACACTGGAACTGGCTGGCGAAAGTATTACATGGAGATCAGGCAGAGCGTGCAGCCTTTCCCTGAGGTTGCCCAAAGGTCACAAGGTCCAGACGTTCAGTCATAGCCGTCCTTTCTAGAAACTGGGGATTTGCCTCACAGACGTCTCAACAGCGCAGAGGTCTCTGAAAACCTGAAGGCACCTCTGCAGGATCCTGAGCCAGGGAGAGATGCTCTCGGAGACACTATGGGCGGTCTTCCCTCTTGAGTGAGTGCCTGTAAGCCACTCTATGATCGTGCTTCCCCGAGAATCATTTCCTGCTCCTGCAGTCATCATTCCAGAAAGTGAAGAACAATGAGTGTAACAAGAATCAAAGGACTACTCCCTGATAACCAGGGTGCTTCTATTTTAAACAAAGCAAATGTGCCACCAGACACAAGAGGAAAAGCAGTGAATGAAGCTGACAACTCCTGCTTTTAGATGTGAGAGACAGAGAGGTGACTTTCCCTGAAAACCAGACCAAGCAAACCAGTCAACAAAGACCTGGGCGGAGGCATTGTCTTCTCAACTGTGATCAACTGACACATGAGGCTCTGTGGGAACAGAGAGTCTCAGAGACTCCTTTCTTATTCCCTATGAGGAGAGCTGAGAAACTTCTCTGCCTGGAACCTGCATGGTGACTCTTCAGCTATGCCAAGGTGCCACAGAGGGGTTGAGGCCAGGTTAGGTCATAAGGTGGAGACAGGGCCCTGAGAAAGTATTCTGAATTCAAGCTGAGATTCAGAGCACAGGAAGAAAATGTTACAAATTAGTAAATAAAAATCAATAGTACACAGTTAGCCCTCTGTAAATAGATTTAAAATCTTTGGGTAAAACTAGCAGCTGATGAAAAAATGTATTCTCACCATTTTTGAAATTGTTGTTTTCTAAAGAACTTTCCTAAATATAGCATCTACTTACAAACATTTACATTGTATTAAATAAGTAATCCAGAGATGACTTAAATTACATGGGATGTTATGAGCATGTTACATGCAAATACTACATAATTTTATGTAAGAAGCTTGTATAGCTGTGGATTTTGTCACCACGGACCTGGAACTAATCTGCCATGGACACCAAGAGGTGACTGCACAAATATGTACTCTATGTTACTCTAGAATATTAATTTTAAATTAATATTTGAATGATGCAAGTGTTTCATTTGTCTGATTAAGTTTTTTTTTAAAATAAGGAAGTCTATTTCTGTTATACAAGAAGAAGAATGCTATTAAATGGGGAAAGAATTGTCTTCTCTTAGTAGAAAATTAATAACCGTGACTTAGCCCTCATGTGTAACTGGTAGCCCTGGACATCACCATCCCTTGGTGGAAAGAAGAATACTGGTACAGATCCTTTGACAGCCTGACTGTAGTTGTTGAAAACACACAATCGAATGAATAGCACGAAGAGTAGAAGGGCATAGCCATATGTGTTTACTTGGCCAGAGACTGATGCTAGTCTGTAAAGGGTCTTCCTCTGCAGGAACAGCCATCTGCCTGTCAGCCCTCACCAGCAGATACCAGAAAGCTGTGTCCTGTGCGCACCACCAAGCCTGAGTGGTTGCAGGAAGGAGACGCATGATTTCACAGCTGCTGTATAGTTTTGTTGGCTTACATGAAGTAAGAGATAAAAGCAGGTTTAGCATCTATTTCACTTCAAGATGTAACTTATCCTGTACATCGTGTATCACACCTCTTTATAACCAGACATTTACAAAATAATAAAAAATCAGACCCATTACCCTGAAAAGGCTACACAAATGGATACGATACTAAGATACTCTCTTCTTTAAAGCCAAACTCTGCTCTCTATTGCTCCATCAGCTTAGCACTCTTTCCGTCTTCAAAGCAGACAATCTGCGCAAGTTATTTAAGGACAAAATTTATTTTAGTTCTATTAATTTCCCTCTTAAAATAAAGAAAATAGTTTCCTGCAGGTCTCACTACAGTTTCCATAATTCTGATAGGACTGTTCATGCCTGAAATCCAAGTGAAAAAACTACGTTGACCTCCGTTAACTTCATGTGTGTTCTTTGAAAAGAATGATCATGATGATGGTGATGATGATGATGATGATGATGAATATTTTGCTTTGCCAGTTATTGTCAGAGATTAGTTTCAGATATTTTATTAATAAAAGCATGACTGGACATCAAGTTAACAAAGTCCCTTTATTGCTCATATATTTAAAACCCAGGAATTCAACCTCATTGCATTTGAAAGGTGAAAGTCCTGGAAGCTCCCATAAAACTTCCTGAAGGAGCTGGTTATGTAACACACCCATACATATGCATGCTGTGTGTATATATAGATACTCAGTTATACTGAGCAAGTACGTACGAGCTTGAATTATTGGATTTCCTCATCTCTACCCAAAATGTAAAAAATCCAAATGTCTTTGGAATCGATTGCCTTCTAACAAATGACAAGGAGGCATTTCTTTTTAACTCACATTATCAAGAAAACATACATGTTCTGTCAAGTTCTGCTCTGTCTGTAGATGATATTTTACATTTAAGCAGGTCACTGGTTTTCAGAAAAACATGTCAAGACTAAGGAAAGTGGACCAGGCAGCATCCCGGGGGGGACTTACCTCTGCAGATCGGCCTGTGGTCACTCCAGGCAGCCAGCGTCTCTGTGACTCTCTGGCATGTGATACTCTTAGAACCCTGGAGCACATAATTGTCCTCACAGGAGAACTGCACACTTGCACCAACCCTGAAAAGGTAGGAAACAAGAAACAACCCAATTAGCAGATCAACAGAGAGGCTGCTATGCTGTTAGAAAGTCAGAATACTAAGAAACGTTAAGCTATTAGAGATGATCTACACAGACAATGCTGCGATTCAGCGGAGTTCAAAGGCAAAATACCAGGACAGCAATGAATTCCGTTCCACCACATCCATAGCTGAACACAGATTTGAACTTCAACATGTTACCTCCCAATAGAGAAAACAGTAAAGTTAATCTCAACAACTGTTGCTGCTTATATGAGAGCACCTCTATGAAGGAATTTTGTTTTGAAGAACAAAACCCAGTTGAATGTCATCCCGTGTAAGGAAATATCTAACAAAACAAGGGCTGAAAAAGTCCTAGTTAGGAAATGTCTCAGTGAAGGATTTATGTTACTATCAAAAACATTAATTATATTTTAAAAAGCCAGTGATTTTATTTCAGAAATATGTCTTACAGGAAAGGAATCATTTACTTTAGGAAATAGAATTCATCCAACCTAGAATTACATGAAAAATGGCTCTGGCTCCAGGGCAGAATCTGCAAACACAAAGCTTTAAGGTCATAAACACTAACAAAACATTGTCACAGGGTAACAGAGAGGTGCATAAGGAGGTGTGAGAAGCAGGCATCCAGCTTGAACACACCCAATTACCTCTTCTGGGCTTCACATCTAGCACTGAGTTAAGATTCGTTTTATTTACTATCTGACAAGAACATTGTTGAAAGAAGGAATTCTATTCTTTTTCCTTTCTGACAAACTTTTGGTTTGATGTTGAGAAAATGGGAATGAAAAAGTGTTGTCTGGGGAAAGGATGCCTAAGTCTCCCTCCATTAGATGGATAGAGTTAATAAGGGGTAAATGATGGGGGGGGTTAATGAGGTTTTGCTTTCCTGCTTATCGAAAAAGTCCTCATCCATAGTGTCCAACTGAATAGTATTGAGGTCACCTTGCACTATCACTCCACACATCTTCCACCAAGCATGCTCCCTGAAGATAGCTACAGACTTGCAAAAATCATCAAATCAGAATCAAAATGGGTGGGAAAATTCTGGGTTAAACAAATTTAAATACCTCTCTTTTCTAAGGGGTCCTCTCAGTTTAATAACATCTTATATGAAAACACTTAGTTTGCCTAGTTAAGAGAATGTAAAGTAGACTATACTACTTTTGAAAGTAGAAGTATAAAAACCAAAACACAAGTATAATTTTCGTGTGCACTGTGGGTCTTCGCCATCACTCAAGACAGCTAAATTCTGTAGACATATTCTTTTACTGCTGCTCATTGATCTTTGTGTGAACTTCTGAGCTACAATGAATGATGAAATAAGTTAGCTGGCGCTGCGGCTCACTAGGCTAATCCTCCACCTTGTGGCGCCGGCACACTGGGTTCTAGTCCCGGTCAGGGCGCCGGATTCTGTCCTGGTTGCCCCTCTTCCAGGCCAGCTCTCTGCTGTGGCCTGGGAGTGCAGTGGAGGATGGCCCAAGTACTTGGACCCTGCACCCACATGGGAGACCAGGATAAGTACCTGGCTCCTGCCATCGGATCAGCACGGTGCGCCGGCCACAGCGCACTAGCCGCGGTGGCCATTGGAGGGTGAACCAACGGCAAAGGAAGACCTTTCTCTCTGTCTCTCTCTCACTGTCCACTCTGCCTGTCAAAAAAAAAAAAGTCTAAGAATTTTGTTTTGGAAACAACTATTATATCTCAGTGTCCTTTACTGCTTGCCTTAATTGCTAACAATTTCTATTTCTAACTTTCAGTTTCCATGTTTTTCGTCCATCTTTCAAATAATTTTTGCTGAACATTTCCTATGTGTCATATTCTGGGTACTAAAAATGCCGAAGTGAATAGGAATAAGGAAGTCTGAATCTCATCAGGATAGCATAATAGGTAAAGAAGGAAAAAATAGTAAACTCATCAAACATGAAGCATGAAGTGCAGTGTTGAGAACTGGAATTGAAGAGTATGCTCATACTTTCTATGATCCAGGGGCAGTCAGCAGAAAGGCAGGCGCGTGGAGCTGTTGTTTCCACTTGGTGATTGCTAATTTCACCTCTAGCAGCACAGCCCTCTACTCCCACAACACTGTTATCTTTTACACACATGCTTTCCCACACATCCAGTGAATATTCCTCTAGGTATTCTTAGTGAATTATACTTTGTTTTGAGAGAGATAATAAAGAACTGAAAACTCTAAAAGCATAAGCAACACAAGCAAAAATAGACAAGTTGCATCACACCCAAAATCATACGTACAGTAAAGGAAACTGAACAGCATGAAGAGACAGCCTACAGAATGGGAAAAATATTTGCACAACATACATCTTATAATGGGTCAATTTCCAAAATATAGAATGAAATCACACAACTCAATAGCAGGAAAACAAGAAAAAACCCATTCAAAAAATGGACAAATGACCTACTTGGGCATTTATCAAGAGAAATGCAAATGGCCAAGAGGAATATGAAAAGGCCCTCAGCCTCACTAATCATTATGAAAATGCAAATCAGTACCAAAATGAGATACCACTTTACACCTGTGGAGATGGCAATTCTCACAAAGAGATAATGAGTATTGACCAACAGGGAACCTGTATGCATTGTTGGTAAGACTGTAAATCAGTACAGCCGCTATGGAAAACAGTAAGGGGTTCCTCAAAACAATTAAAAATAGAGCTACTACAGTCATGAGCTCCAGGGAGTCCACTTCTGGGTAACTATCCAAGGGAAACGAAGTCAGTATGTCAAAGCAATAAAGGTGTTCCTGCATTCTGTGCAGCACGGTTTGCATGGCAGCCATGGCAGGAAATCAGCCTATATGTCTAGCAGTGCATGACTGGATGAGGGAAATGTGTGTGGTACCATGAACAAAGGATACCACCCAGCCTTGGAAAAGGACATGGATCAACACTGAGGGCACTTTAAATGGCATGAAACAGACTCATAAGGGCGACTGCTGCACGATCTCACTTGTTGTGGAATCCTGGAATCAGAAGTCACAGAAGCAGAGCAGAGTGGTGGTTACCAGGGGCTGGTGAGAGGATGGTTGGAGCAGTGTTGGTTGAAAGGCACAACTTTTCAATCAGAAGTAGTAAGTTCAGAGGATCTATTGTACAGCTTGATGATAAACAAAATGTACATTAAGAAAACTGCTGACACAGGTTTTAAATTTTCTCACCACCAAAAATCATAACTAATGAAGTAAAAATATTATAATTAGTTTTAAATCATTCCACAATGTATAAATATTACAAAATATCATGGTATATGATGTCAACCTATACAATTTTATTTGTCAATTAGAAACAAAGAAACTTAATATCACCACACTTTGACCAATTGAAATCATTTCTGGCATTGTGTACTTACCATTCAAAATACTAGAGAACTGTAGCCAGTGACCTTTGACTAAATCATTTTGGAAATATTTCAAATAATAGACTACTGCTATCTAAAAGGTGATTGAACAGCCATGTAGTGATATAATAAAGAAAAAGTGATATGAAGTTACATGTACTTCATATGACAATGACCTACATCTATACCTATATTTCAGGAAAATACACATAAAATCGCTTTTTGAGTAGTAATATTACATGTACACTTCTGCCAAATTTCAATATTTGTATTGTTTCTGGTAGCATTACTTAGATTAAAAAATAAATTGTTACTGCTAGGTTATCCCTTCATTCTTGCTCATTCCTCATGGAGGGAGTCAGAGCACTGATTGGACACCCACCAACGTTCTGGCTCTTTCAGCTTTCCACCAAGCGAAGGGCAGAGAAGTCCATGCCAGACAGGGTGGAGGGCTCCACCTAACACCGCACTGCCAGCACCTGCAGCACAAGCCACGCTGGAGACATTCATCTCAGGACATGCAAAGTGTGGTCCAGAGCTCATTCCTGCACCACTGGCATGCATCCTTTCCACAAATGATCAGAAAAAAACATTGACACTTCTCTAGATTTAAATCTTGAAAACCAGTAATAAGGGCAACCTCTTCATTTTACCGCAGGTCTGGCAGTGGAGCCAAGCCCCTAGTGGAGAGCTCGCTCCAACAGTTAGGCTGAGGAGTCTTTGCTGTGACGAATCAAGCGGGGCTGAAGCCGGGAGCCCAGGCTCCAACTCAGGCAGTCAGTGCTCTGCTTTGATGTTAGCCAGCTCAGGAATCAGCTCAACTCAAAACCCATGGCACTTCACCCTCAGATACATAGCAAACTAAGTTCTAATTGATTTATGAATAGTATATTTAAACAAATATGTATTAGATATAATATTATTTAATTTGGCTTTCTAGAAAATACTGTTATAAGAAAGTTCCGGTAAAAGTAATTATTAGTACATTTCCACTGGCAATTACATTTAGAATCTCTTAGATTAATACTGTTGTTCATTTTAGCTGTATATCAGTAGTTATAGATAATGGGTTTATATATGATCAAGAATATTGTGTATTGATAATAAATACCCAACGGAGAAATTTAAGTGAAACTACTAAAGCAGCTTAATTCCATCTTTTAAACAGAATACAATAAGGGAAACATTTCCCACTTCAGCCTTAGCACTTCTGAAAACCTCCTCACTTCTGATTTCCAAAGACTTCTGCCTCATCACCATCTTCTTAACTACAGGCCCACTGTTTGAGGGGTCTTTGGAGGTGAAGGGACTGTTTCTAAAGACGGCTTATTTCTGAAGTGAACTATTTCTGAATATGGATTTTCTTAGAAGATGGCTATTTCTGGATTTAACACTGATGCAATATTTCTGGGGAAAAATCTGAACTGAATGAAAGATGAAGCTGAAGTTCGAAATAGGAGGTACACGGATTCGTCTGTGCTGCCACTTTCCATTCTTCACCAAGGATTACGGTAAACCACCGGCTCTCTCAGCCCTCACTGGCCAGCACCTACTGAACCTGATGCAATAAATGATTTTCCCCACTTAGTGGTTCTAAATGGATGGATGGATGAACACACAGGC